TTTTCGGTCTTTCCGGACGATGAAACGAAAGAGACAGGAGAAAAGAAAAGAAAAAAAAAAAAAAGGAGAGGTCGTTTATCGAAACGGGGTCTGGGACAGGAATGCAGACCTAGCGGTACAAATTCCAAGACACGTAGGCTTTTAGACGGATGGGGAAAGGGAATGGTATCCCTTTGGAGGGAGAACGCGGGGCCCTTTCTCTCTCAACCAAATTCTTCTTCCGCGCTATCGTTCCATATATATATATTTCGTCAGAAAATTTTCCGGGTTAAAAGAAACTTAAAAGAAAATCCTCTTACACGAATCACGTGTGGATGGTGGAGAGGCAAGAGGTAGTTTGTCAGAGGAAGCGATCAAGTTGGTGACCGATACGAACGATGGACCTGCTTAGATCCACTCGGCGAGCAGCTCGGTGTGCGCCAGTCCCACGGGATCCGGGGTACTGGAGACTCCTTTGTCCGTGAAGAGTGCCGGCGCCAGTCCACCGCAGTCCAGCGGCAAACACCTGCACATTAACCTGGGGAATCAGTTCAGGGCGGGTGGCTCTCTGCCGAACGTTAACAACAACGCGAATTGCGCCAATGACGCGAAACAACACGCATCGTCGCACAACGCCGCTATTCACTCGATCGACCTTAAGGTATTGGCCCATCTAACACAACCGTGTCAATCTAATTTTTCTTTTTTTTTTTTCCCTCCCTTTCTCTTCTTTTTCGTATATATTATATATATATATATGTGTGTGTATACACGTAGATCGCGCTTGCACCCATTTTTGCCTTTTCTTTCTCCCCCTCTTCGTTTCTCTCCGTTCCAAAAAATTTTGCATTTCTGATCATCGATCGACCGTTCCACACCTGACGTTCCTTTGCATTCATTGGATGCACGCGAGCCTAAAGACAGAGGCTAAAATCCGGATCGATTGTCCAAATACGTGGTTTCAATAAGTTTAAGAGGCAAGAATTAAAGCTCGTAAATTATCCTTATCGACTTTTTCTCCTTCTTCCCTGCATCGATCGAATCCCTCGAATTATCGAATTATTGAAAATTACTAATCGATCGCGCCCCCCCCGAGGAGATCTCTCTACTTGTTGCGAGTCCGCTTTCGAAGCGTGACTCATGGGCTGGAGCAACGTACGGCCGATCGCGTGCCTCCTTTCATTAAACTATTTCCAGTCGCCGCGTAAAAATAGACGTTTCAAGATTTTTCTCCTTTCGAACCGCCGTTTCGGGGGAGGAGTGGCGCGTTGCAGCGGCTCCACTCCGCGTTTTCGGCCCCCCCGCGATTTCTTCGAGCGGAATCGAACCGGTCTATGCAAACTTTCCAAACGTCTGAACTGATATCCGTGAAATATCGATGACGAAATCTTCGATTCGCCAAACTTTAAGCTTCTCTCCGATTTACCTCTATCCTCTTTTTCTCTCTCTGCATGATAGAATCTTTTGCAACCAAGTGTAATCGTGCAACGCGAGAATAATAAAATTGCAACGATTTTTGATTATCGAATGGATATATATAAATTTCACGTTTGAGTTGCATGGATAGTTTTTTTTGCACAACTTGATTTTTAGACTATGAGAAATTCCCATATTCCCAAATCCTATATTCCTAAATCGTGTTTCGCGCCAATTTAATTTAATCCCGTCGGTAACGATTTTTCTGCTCTGCCGATAAATATCGCGAAATTTTGCAAATTATTATATCGTATTCGCGCTCCAGCCTTGGATTATTTTCAAGCAACGAATAAATTCTGAAATTGCGAAAATCTCAGAAAATTTCGAAACGAATCGACCAGTTGAATCACGCGAATGGATAATATTACGTAAGGGGGATCGCGTCGATGAAGTCATTAAGAAATTATCTCGAGCCTTAAGGATGAAAGAACGTGGTAACGACAAGTTGGTTAAATTTCGTGTATATCGCGGGGTTGTTTTCGCGTAAACATACAATTATACGCCATATAAATCGAAGACATCCGCGGATTGGATTGTCATGCAAATTATAGTAGATATCAATGAGCTGGAAATCGCGCTTCGTTCGATCATCACGTAACGATATTACGTTCAATATAAACGTTATTATCGCTTTTCCAAACAAATTATTCACACTATGGATATATAACTTGGAGAAATTTCTTGTTTGATTATTCGAGCGAAGAACGTTCACTCGGCTCATATTCGTATATTTTTCACTTTCTCACATTCTACATTATACACATTTTATATGTATTTATCTCCTCCTCACCGGTTATCAGCATCGGTGGCGATTTTTACACGCGTTTGTTTACAGACGAATTGAAATTATTTGTACTTTTCATGATAATATCTCCTGTTTTTTTTTTTCTTCTTTTTTGTTTATTTTTTCCCCTAAACACAGCCTGTTGTCAATTTTCCCTCGCGATCGTCCACTCGATCCCGGAAATAGTCTTCTCGTCACGGCCTTAGATAATGAACCATACCTGAAAGCGAAAGGTATCTCAATTCGAAAGAAAATAGTTTTGCTTTTTGCATGCACACGTTCCTCGCACGTTTTCGCTTTTGTCGTTTCGTAATAGATGTATAGATATGTTAAGAAAAGGTTGCATGTTAATTTGTAAAAAAAAGTCGAGGCATTGTTATTTATAATATCATCGAAGAGTCTCGAATTTGTAAATTAATCGAGATATAATGAAAGAAGAATTTTCTCACTTACGTCCGGTGCAGATTCTTGGACGCATTTGGCGAGATTGTATATCTTGTTGCAATTGTCGGAGCCGGCTGCAAAAGCAGGAGAAAAGAAGAAGAAATTTCAGAAATTGTTCTCAAATCTCGATAAATCTATCTACACGTACACGTTGGAAGGCATTTGCCCATGATCGATTGTGCCCTTTCCTGAAGATGATCCGGCAGCAGGCCCAGCATCATATCCTCGTCCACGTTGGCATCATCGTCGACCTGAACGAGAATTCTATTCTCTTTAGTCGCGTCTTTGGACGCGATTTATCGAAAACTCACCAAGCTGAACGCCTCTAACAAGCAATACATGTAGCAAGTGATGGACGGTTCGTTTATCAGGTTCCCTTTGTCCACCTCGTCGATTTGCGCTACGTTGAGACGTGCGGTGAATTATTTTTCGATCGAAAAGCACGAGCGCGAGACTTTTTCGAGATTTTAATATTCAATTATTCAAATTCTTTAACCGGTTGTTTCACAATCGCTGTGGAAATTCACGCTGTACTAACCTTGCGTCGTCCCGTGCTCGCCCATGCACCGAGCCTTGTCGTCCGCGACCATGTCGAACACCTCGGGCGGCACCCAATCCGGCTAAAATAAAATCGGTCCAAACTCGCGTACTTTTCTTTTTTAAATAATTGTCGTATCAATTTCAGATCTATTCCTGAACCTCTCTCCCCTCTTGTCAAATCAACGATCGTGTTATCAAAACATATAGATTACAATTATACGATGTGGAGTCGATTATAATTCTCGAATCATTCGAGAAATATATAAATATAAAATATATATTTATTATTAATTATTATTATATATATTATATATATATATATATAAAAGAAAATATATATTTTATAATCTTCTCGGTAATTGGATATTAAAAGAGTTATTAAAATTAATAATAAAAATACTCGGCGAAACACCCAACCTTTTTACCGACATCCCCCGCTTCGTCCAACGAATCGAGATTGAAAAATAGTTGGATGGAAGCTTACCGCCGCGCTCACGAAAATCGTCTGGAGGCAGAGGAGGGCGAGAGAATGGATGAAGGCTTGCTTCGTGCTACCCATGATCGCGCGATAATAATATTTTCCCCGCACGCACACGTCCTG